TCCTCGCCCTTCCAGAAATGGCAAGATGATGCCAGCGGCGGTGGCCGAACCCCTGCAGTCGGTGTTGCAGCTGGAAGGTGGCCTGTCGCCCTCCGAAGCAGAGGAGCATTTAGCAGCCCTGGAACGGTCCCAGCGCTTTCAGTCTGAAACCTGGTCGTAAGCCTGGCTCCCTGCCTCCCCCTTCCCCGCAAACTCTGAATAAAGGAGCCAGCAAAATGATCACCTCTGGCATCATTCTTGGGCTGAGATTATCCCAGCCAGGACAGGGGCCTGGTGAAGGGGCTGGATTTACCCAACCAGCCCTTCCCTGATGGCAGCAGAGCTGCGGTGGGCAAGGGGAACCCATCTCCTGCGGGTGTGGGTTTGGCGTGGGTAAAGCCTGGCTCCCTGTGCCCACACCCTGCCGGAGCGGAGGCGAGAAGTCTCTGGTGGGATGCTGCTGGCTGGCTCCTGCGTGGGACCGAGCTGCCACCCTGTGTGCTCCAGCTCCTGGGGTCCCCGTGCCGGGTGAGCAGCACCCGCGGGCATTGCTAGAGCTACGGCATTGCTAGAGCTATGGCATTGCTAGAGCTACGGCGCTGGCAGCTGCCATTGTTTGTGGTAGGACCTAGAGGAAGTGAGCTGTTGCATGGGAGCCTCTCCACCCTGGCATTAGTCAGCGGCAGCAGCGCTTGCTGCAGGAGGCTGCCTTGACAGACCTGTTCCCCCTGTCTCCAGTGGCTGAGGCCAGCAGGGATGGGCGCAGGAGGAAGCTTCCATCCCTCTGTCTCTGCTGCCGGTTCGTTTTCCTGAGCCTGCTTGATGCCAAGGTCTGAGTGCCAGTTCCCATCGAGTTATCCCATTCCCTGAGCGCCTGGTCTGCTGGACCTGTCTTCCACCCCATCCTGGGAGCCACTTCCAGCCGGGGCCGGGCAAGCCAGCAGCCTCCAGCCCTTTCCCTGGCAGCCTCGGGTCCGTGTGTCCTCCTGGCCCTGCTGGTGGCCCAGTAGTGCCAGTGCCACCACCTTTCTCCCCCAGTTCAGTGAACTCGGTGCCACTGTGTAAATAGCAATTAAGGCCCAGGGCATGAATCAGCCGGGGACAGTCCCTGGGAGCAGACTGGGACAGGAAGGGACAGCGGTGCCACACCACGCCTGTGACCCAGCCACCCTCCCACACGCCAAATTATGGGGTCCTGCACGGGCGAGCGGCACCCCGGGGCATTGCTCGAGCTACGGCACTGGGTCTCCCCACCCCACTGCTTTGCCAGCGCTGCCTTGCTGCGAGGAGCTGTTGCGCTTGCAGACCCAGGCTGTGCTGGGTGTCCCCGTGCCTTGGGGACAGCTGGGGGGCCAGCACGGAGCTGCTGCATGGCAGTTATCATGCCGGTGACACCGTCCCCTTGCACGGGGCACTATCCAGGCTGTGCTCTTCCTTCCAAGCCCTGCAAGCGGCTTATGGGACATGGCAAGGCGAGGTGGCCCCATGCAGGGATGGACCCAGGGGACAGGAATGAGCTGGGGGGCCGTATTGGGGCGGAACTGGGAGCAGAGCAGGGCCCATGCTGCCATGGCCCACGGGCAGCGATGTGACGAGTGCTGGCCGTAGAAGTGGCTCCATTTTTGCTGGGCAAGGGGAAGAGGCGGCCGTGGGCCCAGCTCCTCCCCGGCTCCCGCGGGAGCTGATTGGCGCGGGCATGGCTGCCTGCCCCGGGCTGCCTGCATTTGAGCCGCTTCCAGAAGCTGACAAACCAGACTGGTTAGAGCCAGGCTCGGCCCCAGCCCTGCCTGGCCCACAGCAGGCAGCAGCTGCCTGCACGGGTGCCTGCCACGCCTGCACCCCTTGCCGGTGCAGCGGGCAGAGCCTGGCAGCACCCAGCTCGTCGCCCTCTCCTCTGGACCGTGGCGGGTCAGTACTTCGTTGACACTGGGGAGGGGGAAGAGAAGGAGGAAGAGGAGGAGGAGGAGGAAGTGGCTGCTGGATGCTCACAGCAATGCCCCTCTTGGGGTGGCCTATCGGTGAGGGTGATGGGGATGCGCCCCATTTTCGGGGCTCCTGACCTGTCGGCCTGGGAGGGGGCCCCAAACCGTGCTGGAGGGATGACGGGACTCTGTGGATGCTGCTGCCTTTAAACCCTTCCAGCAGCCGTGCTGAAGGGCACCTCCTGCCCTGGAGCAGCACCCACGTCCCGCACCCAGCCCCGAGGGGACTCAGGGGGCGGTGGGTAAGAGGGGCAGCCGCGGAGCAGCTGCCCCCATGGAGCCGGCAGCAGGCGAGGAGGCAGAGCCTGGCCCTCAGCCGGTGCAGGCAGCCGGTGGGGAGGGCTGTGCTGAGCAGCAGGGTGAGAGCGAGACTGCGGGGTTGGGGGACCCTGGGGAGCCGCCCCGGCTCTGTGGAGAGACGCCTGCCGCTGACTGGGGACGCTGGAACCCGCCGACAGCGGAGGACACAACCGAGCCACTCCTGCCCGGGCATGACGAGCCGCCTGCCCATGGTGCCGCCCTGCCTGCGGGACAGGACCCTCCCGCTGCCGCCGCCATCAGCCCCATCCTGCCCCGTGGGGAGAGCCCAGCGCCACGGTGGGGGTCACCCAGCCTGGAAAGTGCCTCCAGCTCCTTCCTGAGCCTCTCCGGTGAGGAAGAGGAGACGTTGAGCAGCGAGGCGGCAGCAGAGCCGTGCCACGTGCCGGCAGGCAGCGAGGACGAGTGCCCCATCTGCACGGAGCCCTATGATGACCAGCGGCACAAACCGGCCCTGCTCAACTGCAACCACGGGCTGTGCCGTGCCTGCCTGCACGCCATCATGGACACTGCCGCTGGCGCCGAGTTCGGCCGTGTCCGCTGCCCCATCTGCCGCCAGAAGACGCCCATGCTGGAGTGGGAGATCTGCAAGCTGCAAGAGGAGCTGCTCCTGCTGCATGCCCAACCTGGCTCCTCCGATGCCCTGGCTACTCCCCGGCCCCCGGCCCTGCCGCCCCGGCGCCCAGGCCTTGCTGGTGCCCTTGAGCATCGCTTCCAGGTGCGCTTCCACACCAGCCGCATGTTTGGGTGCCTGCCCTGCGTCCGCTACCCGCCCTGCTTCATCCGCGGGCTGGGGCGGCTGGGGCGCCCCTGCCGCTGCTGCTACCTCCTGGTGCTGGCACTGCTGCTGGCGGCTGAGATGCTCAGCCTGCTCCTCATCTTCCTTCCCATCGTCCTGATGGTGCTGCTCTTCCTCATCCTCGACAAATAGCGCTGGGTTTGTGCCTCCAGGCTGGGCCATGCATGGGGAGAGGAGCCCTGCTCCTGCTGGGCCCCTGGGGCTGGTGCTGGGTGGTGATGCCAGCCTGGGAGCAAACCTGTGAACCCAGGTGCCCGGGATGCCCCGGCACTGCCAGTGAGCCTGGATCGGGTGAGGCAGCGGAGGAGCTGGAGTGGGCAGCTGAGGGAGGGGAGCCCAGAGCTGGGCATCACCTACATCCCGCCAGGCATGGGGTGACCCATCACTGCAGCAGCCAAGGGGCGGATGGAGCAGGGGCCCTTCCTGCACCGGGGGCACGTCCCTGGCATGGGGCTGGGGACCGGAGGGGCTCTGCGGGCAGAGCAGGGCTGTGCCGTAGGCTGTGCTGCCCACGCCTGGGACAGACGGACTGGGGTTCCCCAGCATGGACTGGAAATACAATTTGCAATTTTACCACGGCCGTGTCCAGCTGAGTTCAGTGCTTGGTCTGGGCTGAGCATGTTCCCTCAGGGTCCAGCGGTGACACAAGGAGGGGATGGGGACAGCCAGTGGTCTCCAGCCACCCTGGGAGAGTGTGCCTGCCCGCACCGCGGCACCTCCCAGCCCCGGTCGAGCGGTGCCAGCCCGTGCTCATGCCTTGCCCTGCATGGAGATAAGAGAGCAAACACGGCTCCGTCCCCATGGGCTGGCGCTGGCAGCACCTAGCAGGACCCGCCAGCGGGGACCCGAGTGCTTGAGGACAGGCAGGTTCGGCCCCAGCCAGGCACCGAAGGCAGAGGAGCCCACGGTGAGCATGGCACTGGGGCTGTGCCCACATGGGACCTGCCCACGGCTGTGGCAGGCAGGAATATCTCAGCGCTGAGCAGGGTGCGGGCTCTGCTCCTCACTTGGCAGCCGGCCCTGCATGGGGGCTGTGTCCCAGCCAGGTGCGGTGCCCCGCTCCCCAGGACCCCACCAGGGCGATGCCCAGGCCACGACCCAGCTCCTCTGCACCCTTGCTCCCCACCCTGCTGCAGGGCGCGGGGCTGGCAGCTGCTTACTGGGGACATCTGTACCCCGAGGGGACGGGGACGGCTCCAGGCTTTCAGCCACCTTTGGGCTGGTGGTGGGTGGCAGGGAGGTGTCAGACCCCCATGACCCCCCCAAGATCCCATCGCGGGGGTCAGTCTCCTGCGGTGTTGGCACCCATCTCAGCAGCCTGGAATGCGCTGCTCCTTATTTATCTCTGCCAGCCCCTTCTTGATGCCCTGCCAAAGCTCTGCGCAGACCCCGTGCCAAATCGCCCCCCCTGTGCTGTCACCTCTCTCCGGCCCCACTCTGCCCGTCCCCACCACAGGGGCTGGCTGACACCGCAGTGCCCTGTCCTCCTGCCCGGCCATGCCGGGGTTGTGCAACCAGCCGTGTGTCCCAGCTTCGCCCTTCTCCCCGGAAACATCCACGGGCACCTCCCCAGGGCTGCGGCTGCGGGGGACCGCGGGGTACCACCCCCCCCTTCCCCTTCCTCCTGCCAAGGGAGCCCCCCCTTCCCCCTCCCCCCTGCCAAGGGAGCCAGATCGGCGGGGGGCGAGCCAACGCTGCACAGCCCTGCGGGAAACCCGTGCCCTTGTGCCCACGGGGGCAGAGATTCACGCCACAGACTTTGCCGGGGCACTCGGGCTGCTCTCAGTATCGGGGCTGCCGTGCGTTGCTCCAGCAAAGTGCCAAGGTGTGGGAGGCAGCGGTAGGAGCAGGGCACCCCAAAACAGGTCAGGCTGGGAGGCAGAGGCAGGCAGGTCCACCCCCGGCCCCCATCGCACCGAGGAATATTTATTTATATCAAGTGGAGCAGCTCCATCAGGAGGAGCACCAGCTCGGCCCTGGCCGCGGGCGTTTTCAGCTAGATGGGGCCTGCGGGGAGGGGGGGCTCAGACACCCGGGGGGCCCTGCCACCGCGTGGGAGGCCTGGCACGTGTCCCTGCTCCACATTACGTGGGAATATAACGGGCTTTTGGGCAAACCAGGCCAGAGCTGTCCCCATGGGGACACAATGGAGCACGATGCACCCTCCAGTGCATCTGCGCTCCCCTTGCCAGGCTGCCGGCACCTCTGGGTGCTGAAAGCCAGAGAAGGGCACCTAAATCACCCCGGGGATGGGGTGTCTGGGGGGGCTGTGGTGCGGGACCAACCCCGTGGGCGATGCAGAGCCCGGCGGTGCTGCCCACGGTGCCTCGGCGTGCAGACAGGGCTGGCCCGTGGGAGCCTGGCTGCAATGTCCGCTCACAAGGACTCGGTTATATTTAGCGTGCCGAGATAGCAGCGAGCGGCACCCACCGCAGGACGGTGAGCCGGGCCAGGGGCGGCGTGCCGAGAGCCATGGGAGGCTGCGATAGGGCTCTGGCTGCAGGGCACCATCCCCCGGCACAGACCCCCCCAAAGCCCCGCACACAGCCCCACACATGCACCCCTGATTCCTTGCACCCCCCCCACTGAGCACCCCCTCACCAGTCCCCCAGCTCTCCTTTGCTGCCCCCCATTACCCCATGGCAGCCCCCCAACCCCTCTCCCCCCCAGCATGAGCTCCAGCACAGCTCCCCAGATCCACCCCATCTGCCCCCTCCCACAAGCCTCTGACACCCCATTGCGCCCCAAACGCTTCATCGCATCTCCCAGCCGCTAGCACCAGGCGGGTGACATGGTGTCCCCAGACTGGTGACATGGCTGTCCCCATCCCCACAGGGACCTGCCCACTGGCGTGTCCCCCGCCCTGGTGCCCAGCCATGCCTGGGTGGCAGCGAGGACATTGGCAGCACAGCCAGCCTCAGGCATGCACCGAGTGTGCTTGGTCTCACCTGCCGGGGCAGGCAGGGGTGGGGGTGTCAGGGGCCCCATCCAGCTCTGGTCGGAGGCATCCCCACCCCTTTTGCACCACAACCAGCAGCAGCATCTCCCCTTCCCCACTCAGCCCCCACGCTGGGGACATGCCAGCGCTGTCCCCATCCTGCATCCGTGAGAGCGAGGCTGGAGGGACAGCGGCCAGGGGGACAGCACGAAAATGGTGAGGGGCTGGGAGCAACTCCTGCGCCAGAGTCCGGCCTTGAACATGGAGCCAGGGAGGGAGTGGGAGCGGGTGCCTGTGCCTGCAGGCAGCCCTCGTCTGGATTTAACCCCAAGAAAGCTCCCGAGTGCAGCAGTCCCTCCCCGTCCGTGGGGCCAGCGCTGCCCTGGGGACCTGTCACAGCCTCTCGGGCTGCATGCCACAACCTATTATCGTCTCATCGTGGGATTGCTCCTCGTTGTGAAAGCTGGGTGCTGGCAGAAGCCGTTGCAAGCAGCTTCCTCTCCTCTGAAACAGCCGTTTCGGGTGCAGGACCGCCTCGGGTTGAGGTTTTGAGGCTGCATGTCCCCAAGGAGGGCCCAGCCCTGATGCTGAGCCACCTCCTTCCCAGCCTGGCATGGTGCTACCCCATAGCCCAGCACAGCCTTCAGCCCTGCACTGGGGCCGGATCCTCCCCCCGCTCTGTGCCAATGCGGAACCGGTCCTGTTGTGCAACCTCCCAGCAGGGTGGCGGGGCAGGATGGGGACCAGTGGGGCCACACACATGGGGACCAGCCTCGGCGCTGCCCGGGGCTGCCTACCCATCACCATCGGGAGCTCGGAGCTGCCCCGGCCTGGTGCAACCCCCGGCACTGGTCAGCCGGGCTGTGGGAGCCGGTTTTGGGGAGAACAGCTGGGAAATATCATCCTCTGAACCCGTGCCAAACCGGCAGAGAGCTGCCCGTTCCCGGCCCTTCCCACATCTAAACCAAGGGCGTTTGGGGAAGGGTCATCCCCAGGAGCCATTCAACCCCTCAACTCCCCTCTCCCATCACGGGCCAACCTGGACACTGGGAGAGCTCAGATGTTCATCCCAGCCTGGGACAGACATTTGATCAACGAGGAGATTTTACAACCAGCTCATCTGGGAATGTCTGTGAGCATCTTTGCCCACACGTGGCCAAACCTGCTCCCACGGCAACGTCCTGGCCGTGTTTAAGCAGCCGGTGGGACCTGGAGTGCTTTGAAAACCCGGCTTGGAGGCACAAAGCTCAGTGTGGCCACGGGAGCGTTTCAGGGCTTGGGATCCCAGAGTGACTTTGAAAGATTTTTAATTCACCTGCTGCCGCGACGCGAGGGCTGGCACCTCCCCGTCGTCCCTGTCCCCCCGCAGTACACCCGGGCCCCTCTTCCAGCGAGTGCTCATTCGAGGTTAATAGGGCTGGTGAAATGGGCTGTTGCCCAGCACTTACTCCTGAAAGGTCCCATTTCTTCCTTAATTGCAACTCAAAATCAAATTAGCGGTTTTAAATTTACTCTGTGCCCAAGAGGTACCACGACAGGGTGAGGACGCACTGTACCCTTCGTCCTTACGTAATAAAAAGGGTAAATTCCTGCTTTGAGGGCAAAATTGCTGCCCTAGCTGGCCCATTGCTTCGGTATCTTTGGGGCCCCGCAGATGGAGGTGCTTGTCCTGGCTTCAGGATGAGCCTTTGGGGTGATGGAGATGCTCATCCCGGATTTGGGGCTGCCCCAGCTTCCCCGAGCAGCCACATTGTTGGGCTCACTGGGAAGGGATGCCGTGGCCGCCAGGAGCCCCCAGCACTGCTGCCAGTACCCCCCACACCCACGGAGGACAGCGGGCATGGGGGTGCAGGGCTGGGGAGCCCAGATCATGGCCATGGTGCGCTTGGGGCCGGGGCTGGCACCGGCTGCATTATTGATGCTGTAATTCAGCACCCAAGGACTGGGATGTGGTTTCATTTTCTGGGCATAGAAACCCTTCTGGGAGGGGGGGGGGGAACCAGCAGCCAAGCACAAGGGGTCCGCAGCCACCCCGTGCACCCTGCACCCCCTGAGGGTGGGAGCTGCCCCCAGGGCTCAGCCACGAGCCAGGGAGGTGCCGGTGCTTTGGAAGCAGCTGCTCCACAGTGGCCCATAGCAGAGGGCAGAGACAGCCGCTGCTCCCAGAGAAAGGAGGTTCGGGGGCCAGCACTGGGCCAGCGGGGCTGTGCGTGCACACACACGCACTCTCCGCTGTGCACACGCGTGTGCGCCCGCACAGCTCACGCCCCAGGGAACCGCGCTGCCCTGGGAGCATCCTCCCGCCTGTTTCTGCTGCAAACTTCTGCCTCTCCCAGCTGGAGAGTTGCCATCGCGGTGACCCTGGGGTCCATTCGGTGCAGGCGGTGGGTGCTCCCCACCGGTGCCATTTGCCGGTGCTGCCGGGTGCACGCTGGGCCCCGGGGCAGTCCCTGTCTGCAGCTGGGGATGGCGCAGAGAGGCCGTGAGCATGGCCGGGCCCGTGGGTGCATCTGCCCGTGTCCCTGCCCAGCTTCCGTCGCCAGCGGGTGCCACCTGGGCCAGGCTGGCAAATCCTCCCCCCAGTATACCACATCACTCGGGAGGAACAGGACATCCAGCAAGTATTTAAAAGCCCTTGGTGTGGGTGGGGACCACTTGCCAAGGTGGGCAGGGTAGCCCATGGTGACCAGCCACATGTGGTGGGACCAGGGACTGGGCAGGGAGGGGACACAACCGCATCAGAGCTGAGAGCCAGGTCACAGGAGGTGTCAGTCCTTCCTCTGGGTATCTCTCCCCCAACTTGCCCCACGGACCGAGCGGGGCCATGCGCAGCATCCCGGCCGGTGTGCGGCCCCGCTCCGGCCCGCAACGACGCGCCCCCTGAGACGCCAGCTCGCCATTCGTTCCAATATAATCTTTATTGGGGAGACTGATGGGGGTCAGAACAAGGCCGGGTATAAAACATGATCATTGTCACAACCAGCAGCGGGAGGCATTGGCAGAGCAACACAGAAACGGTATCGGCCCCCGTTCTCCACCGGCAGCGGGGTGGTACCCGGGGCTGTGCCGGCGGCATCGCCTGCTCCCT